TGCCTTCTACAAAAATCCACCATGCAAATTGCCAGATCACAGATCTTGAAAGAAGTGACTCTTGCACCTAGCACCCACTTCTATTTTCATGAACACCATATTCTCCCACAATTTTAAAAGAGATGGAAACATGCAGCTAGGATTTTCAAGCAACTATGTCACAGGTGAAGATGGACACATACATAGCCCACTTCCTGGTTTTGAGTAAAATTATAGCCATGGCTTGTAGTGATATACATTCAAAGTTCTGTCCATTAACCAGATCTTCAGACCAGAAGTCACTCACAATAAGGAAAACATTTCAAGTATTACAGATGTATTTTGTCCCAGCTAGGTATTCAAATACACAAATTCCAAATTGCACGTGTGCATAACTGCTGACCATACCTAGAGTAAGGACTGTCAACAGCACTGTTTTTTAAACATTTCTGATGCTGTTGTCTGAACTGGTTACAGCTAACATGGCTGTGTTTATGAAGCAGACTTCTTCAGAATCTATATATTTTAGAAATGTGCATGTCTGTACATCTGTGAGTCTGTTTGTTCAAGAACTCCTTAAAGGTAAGAGCTAGGACCACCAAATTTGGTATGCAGCTTCCTCTTATCCCAACTTAAACCAAGGTTAGAGTTTGGTTGTGTCAGGAAAATAGGAGAGTGAACCGAGGTGACTGGAGGGGCACCCTGGTTGTGTCAGGAAAATAGGAGAGTGAACCGAGTGAATCCTCTAAGAATGCCCCAGCCCAAGGCACCCTTTAGGGATGTGCCTGGAATGGGATTGCTTCTCATAAAACCATACAGAAGAGAGACTTATCAGGCAAGTGAAACGGGGTAACTGGGGGAGCCCTCTTCTCCAAGACTACACCACCCCAAGGCACCCCCCAGAGATTCGTAGAGGAACACTGCTGGATGTTTCCCTTCATCAGGGAATGAGGGGAAAGTGCACAGTTTGCTGCATTCCTCACTCTGGCTGAGAAGCTGGGGGTGGGGGGAGGGGAGATGAACCCGGACCTGCCCCAGCTAGGGGATATGCATCCCTCCCCCAGCTGTATCTGCTGTGACCATGGAGAGGTGCGTCTCACCTGGCGCTAAGCTGCTGCAGTGAGAGAGGGCGGGGGTTGTCCTCTCTCCCTGAGGCAGCCTCCATACTGAACCCCTCTTCCTCCCCAACCCCATCCTAGAGCAATGATCCAAATGAAGCATGTACATTTTCATTTTATTTTGCATAAAACAAATATTAATTGGGTTAAGGACCAGAGCAATACTGGGAAAATCTTCTCATAGGAGTGGCACAAATATTATGTATGGCAACATGTTCTGTAATGTCCTAAATCACAGACAGCTAGGAAGGAGGCTGGGACAATGGAGAAAGTGCTGGAATCAGGGTGGAGGGTTGAGGAGAGGCTCAAGGCAGGGGGCTGTGGTGGAGGGTGGTGTACAAGAGAGAGGGTTGAAGAGCTAGAACAGGCTCAAGGCAGGAGGTCCCATCTGGTGGGGCTTTCTCTTCCCCTTCCCGCCACCAACAGGGGCCTTCTCTCTCCCCCCACTCCCTCCAGCCGACAGGGGACTTCTGAAAAACAAAGGACACAAAATCCTAAAAAATGTGCCGAAACAATTACAGGAAGATTGCGCCATGCCAAAAAAAGAGTCATTGGCAAGGGGAAAACACTGTTAGCTTCCATTGTTAGCAGCCAAGTTCTCAAGTTTTGTAGAGGCTCAAATCAGAGCCAATCATCCTACCAAGTCTATACTGATGGGCAAAGAAAGATGTAGTTTTCAATCATGCTATGCTACTTCAATTGAAAACCAAACTTACCTTCCCCATAAATACAGGCCTGACTACCTAAAGTTGGTTAAAGTTGTACTGAAGTCAGAGCCTATAAGATATCAATGAAAGAAGGTGCATGTTCACTGTGTACATTTTCTATTGGCTTGGCTTACGTACAAAGTTGCACTGGTTTAACTGCACAGTTTTAAGCCAACTTAGTTAAAATTGGTTTCACTTTGTGGGGATTATAAAATTAATTTAAACCTGACATACTGGTTAAGCTTGAAAGTAACAAGGCCAAACTACAATATAATATTTTTATATAGATTTAAGAGTGTTTTCAGAAGTTTACCAGATTTCAACTATACCAGTTTAACTAAACTGACGCAAGTCAGTGCATAGATTACCCAGTAGATGCAATGCTATATTTCAGAGCAAAAGTGTCTTTAAAAGCTGTTCTGCACAAGCTAAAGCACCACATGTAGTCTGCCTGTAGGTTTTTTCGGGTTTGATTTATTTTTCACAATTTAGGTATATCTGAATACACATTAACAAACTTGATTTTAACTACTTGACACCTAATTTAAACAGGGCACATAATGTTTTAAAATGAGATAGCTGGTTGTAGCCAACCATAGATAACATGTTTTTAAACATGACTTCAGCTAAAGTGACTTTACACTAAAAGCAAAATTATGCTTCAAATAACATTAGTTGCCATGTTTCCAAATAGGACTTATTTTTGAGAGGAACCTATTGTTGGTTTGCTGGCAGACCGTTTATCTGAAAAAGCTTTTCAAATGTCACCTGATGCACTGTGTCTCTTTTGAACCTATGTATTGAACACTACACTAGAAAGTTAGGTCAGCTCAGTTATGTCAGTTGGGGTTTAAAAAACATGTCCCTGCCCAGTGTAGATAAACCAACCTAAGTCCCCATGTAGACAGGCACCAGGAGGATGGATAAAATCTTCTGCTGATCTAACTCCTGCTTCTCAGTGAAGTGGATTATCTACAATGGTGGAATACCTCTCATCAGTGTAGTGGCTGCACTGAAATGCTATAGCAGTCCAGCTGCAGTGGTATAAATGTGTTTCTATAGCATTTTAACTATAGCAACAGGAAAGGTTCTGTAGTCAGTAAAGATAATTCACCTCGCTGAGAGAAGTAGTTAGGTTGATCAAAGAATCAAATCAACACAGGTAGTTAAGCCAGTGTAAGTCCGTCTCCCAGAAATGTGATAGATGTGGTTATACCAAAGTAAATTTTCAGTGAAAACCTGGCCAATATGGAAGACATCAACTCTGGCTAAGGTCTGAATGACAGCTGTTCATCTCAACAATGGGTAAACTCTAAGGTTACCAAGTGTCCGGTTTTGAACCAGACAGTCCAACAATTGAACTTTCTGTTTGGGAAACAAATTGAGAAAATATAAATGTCTGGTATTTTCTAAATAAATTGTAACGTAGGTTGTGATGTAATGTCAAGTGTGTCCAGTATTTTTGTTGAAACCATTTGGCAACCCTAGTAAACTCTGATACTTAACCACGAAGTATTTATTTATCTAGAGTTTATCTTTTGCTTATCATCATGATATCTGAACACCAGTTTAAATGTCAACATCATTAACTATTTTACTGCTGATTATTTAGCAGAAATATCCAGCTAACAATCTTCTCATGTGTGGTCGTTACCAGTGCTTTTTTTGTGACGTTACTGCCCGGAACAGCGTACCGTCACCTATTTTCCCAGCCCACAGAAAAGGAATGGGATTTCCCCCGCACATACTGGCACCTGTTTTCTTGGGGCGGCTCAGCTCCTGGCGGAAGCCTGCTCAGGACGTGCGGCATTTTTTTTTCCGGCTCCCAGCATGGTGCTGTGGCTCTTAAAGGGGCTGCGGCCACATTTCGACCCCCAGAGCGGTTTTGTTTTTTGTTTTGTTTTGCTCAACAAGTTTGCCCCAGAGTACTGGCACCTTTTTTCTTACAAAGAAAAGCACTGGTTGTTACAGAAATTAAAGTTAATTTTACACTGAGCTATTTTTTAACCTTGCATTAATTAAATCCAAGACTATAGATGTTTGTTTCTTCCCTAAATATTTATAGCCTAGATCAATATGTGGCAAGTGCCCACTAGTCTTTATAAAACATATTACCAGTTAACTTCAGGTATTTAATTTGCTCAAGGTTAAATGGTCTAGTAAAGACCTGATTAAAAAGACCACACATTGAGCAAATCATGACCCCTGGTTCCAATAACTCTTTCTGCATAGCAGTTGTCCACTGTTGGGCTGGAACCAACATTGTTGGTATAGGCTAGGCACAAGTGCATTAGCCACTATGTCACTTCTTCTGCTTTCCAGAAGTTTCAAACATCAGCATTCCATGTATGGGAATTTGCAGTGGTCTCCTCAAATAAATATTGCTTTCAGATACTTATTATGGAGTTGCAGGAAACCACAGAATTTGATTTTCAGCTACAAACTATTTTACAGACATTTACAGTAGACCAACCTTCTCACTCTTTCTAATTTACCAATGAATTCTCAAGAAATACAAGACCAATAACCATTCCTATGATGAACTAAGAATCTTCAACATTATTTTGGCCAATGATTTACAGATTCCCTCCAAAACAAGACAGAGAGATAAAATAATTTGTAAATTGTTTGCAGACCTATACTCAATTGAAACAGTAAAGGAAGGCAAAAGCTCATGATTGATTTACAATGCTCCAATTCAGTCTAATCTGAGTTTTTTGAAGGAAATGTATTAATTTGTTTCTTTGCCTGCTAAATGTCAGATTTGTGGTAGCTGCTTTGGATGGGTATACAGTGGTGAACTTTTCTACTGTGAATTGCAAACAAAACACTGTATTTACTGATCAGATATGAACCTGCATTTTGTATCAGACACAGCCAACAAAGGTAAGGCCAGACCTTAAGAAGTTAGTTGTAGAGATTTCAACTGATATTCCTTTTGCTGCAACCCACAAAATCATGCTTTCTGTTTTTATAAAACACAGTTGACGTTTTCAGAGCTCAAAAACAAAAGTGTGCCTTTATTTCAAAATAAAGTTCTATATAAATGTATATGAAAACGAGGTGTGGCCCTTGCAATCACTGAAAGTTCTCAGTGTGGTATCTTATGCTGCAAAGATTGTGTACCACTGTTCTAGTGTGTTCTCCTCTCCCGTGGTTTATTTCTCTGTTGTGATGGCAATCCAAGTGCTCTTACCGAGGTCTCACAGTCCTTTGAAGGTTGCAAGGAAAGCCAGCTCTCATAGTGTATGGATTTGGATTGATGGACAGCCTTCTTTAGTATATAATATAGCTGGATCAAAAAGAAAAAGACCCAACCAATAAGATAATCTTAAATTTATAATTAATTCAGATTCTTTAGTAGTTAATCATCAAATACTATCTTGGGAATCTGTATCTCCCCTCTGTATGCGTGTAATGCCTGTTGAAATTAATGGGTGTTTTGGGTACAAAAGGACTGAAAAATAAACCCATTAATTATAAACTTAAAAAACCACTGAATGCTACAAAATGTTGTTAGCAGTTTTCCTCATCATTATACCAAGGGGTGGCCTAGATTTTGCAGGGATCTAGGAAACTCCTTCCAGACACCTGTGTAGGTTTCCACCCTAGAGGTACTGGTAAAAATGTATTCTAATCAATGGTTTTTCATGGTATGCGACTGTTTTCAAAAAGGTTATAACTAGGCCACTTTGCTCTGCAAACAAATACATTTATCTGCACCATTGTTTTTAAGACTTTGATATTTCTTTTTTTTATAAACAAATTTGACTAGAGCTCTTATTGCTGCAAAATTAATCTTTGAAAAGTGAATCGAGCACAACTGAGGCAGTGGTGTCTGCAAAAGCCAGAAGATAGCTTGAAACCACAGCTCTAAGAAATGGGTAACTTGCTCTTTTTCATTTCAAGGGAATGTGTCAACAGTCTTTCTATTTTAGTACTGATCAAAGTAAAGTTTGGAAAACTACCACCTCTCCTGATAGATACCTGAAAATGAAAGCAAGTTCCTAAGAAGCAAACAGGACAGGCAGTTAGGAAATTCCATCTCTTCCACAGCCTGCTAGCACTGGAATCAGACACAAATTCAGATTGTAAGTAGATGATAAAGTTCTCGTTGATAGGATCTATATGTGTGAAGCAGGAGTGGGACTGTACAGAGTATATTGTAAAGACATGTGCCTAAACCACTACAGCAGGGGTGGGGAACTTCAGGGCGGGGAAGGATGCGGCCACTCCCCCCCGGCTTGCCTGGATTTGGCCCCAAGGCTCAGGGCACCCCCAGCGTTGGGGAGTCTGTGCTGGTGCTCCAGCCCTTCTGCTGCCCCACCATGGAGCTGAAGCACACAAAATCTACTAGCCTGCCCCCACCCCAGGCTATGGTGTGGGAGAGAAATATGGGGGGAGGGGTCTTTCTCCTTCTCAGTCGAGGGCCATGTCAGTAAGGGTTTTTTTTTTTTTTTTTTTTTTAAACTTCTCACTTGTGTGGTGTGCAGCCCCTGGCTGATTTTTCTGTGAGTCAGCAGCCCCCAACCCAAAAAAGGTTCCCCATCTCTGCACTACAGACTTGTGTGCCAATGGTTTCATTGTGACTTAGATGACTATGGCTACGTCTACACTGCACAGTTATTTTGGAATAAGCTATTTTGGAATAATTATTCCGAAACAGCTTATTTCGAAATAGCACGTCTACATTAGGGAAGCCTGCCTCAGACTAATTTTGAGGCTTCCCTGCAGTGCAGATGTGCTATCTCGATTTAGAGCCCAGGAGGAATAACTTAGAATGACCCTGGTGAGGGGCTACTTCAAAATAGCAGCAGTGGAATGTCTACACATGCCTTATTTTGAAATAGCTATTTTGGAATAAGCGTTATTCTTTGCAGAATGAGGTTTACAGAAGCCAGAATAAACCATCCGTTATTTCGAAATTATTTCAAAATAACAGAACTGCTGTGTAGATGCCTGCATAGTTATTTTGGAATACCAGCCATTATTTCAAAATAATTTTGCTGTGTAGATATACCCTATATGTCCTGTTTATATACAACTAACTATTCATTAGAAAATTAATTTAAAGAAATTTGAACATTATTACTCCAATTAGCAAGAATTCCTTTTAAAATCTGCCCTGTGGCTTTGTACAATAACTTTGCATATATATTCCAGCTAGTTTCTTTGAAAATCTGAAGCTACTATTACATGCCCACATAAATTGCTTTGGGAAAGCAATTTTGAAAAGGCTTTTTATTGACTAGGATTAAAAACTGGTCAGGTTAAGTCACAGTTCTATACAGAGAAACATTATATTGAAAATTTATCAAGTACAGGTTGGACCTCCCTGGTCCGGCACCCTTGGGAGCTTGAGCCGTTCCAGACCAGGGAGTTTGCTGGACCAGGGAAGGTTAATGCTTTCCCACTGGCTGCCCCGCTGCCAGCTCGTCCCCCTGGAGCTCCCAAGGCTGGGGTTCCCTGCCCTGCCAAAGCTGTACTGGCTGAGGCTCCCCACCCTGCTGCCCTTCTACTGCGCAGGGGATTCCCAGCCAGGGCTGCCTAGCCGCCTTTGCCCAGCCGCTGCCAGCCCCGCTGACTCTGGAGGTTACCGGAGGGTCCTGGCTGGGGTTGCCCAGCTGCTACCAAGTCCACTACCTCCAGTGGCTCCTCGGGGTTTCCTAGCCCTGGGCCACCCAGGCACCAGAGGCCCCGCTGCTGTGGCCTGGCCCTGATGTTGCTGGGGATTTCCTGGGGTTCTCCAGCTGGGGCTGCCAAGCCAGCCATGCTGCCACTGAGGCTTCCTCTGCTGGGGCTGGGACTGCCTGGCCCCGCTGCTGCAGGGGGTTTCCTGGTCAGGACTGCTCAGCTATCCCAGCCCTGCTGCAGGGGGATTTCTGGGATTCTCTGGCCACTGCTGGTCCTGCTGCCAAGAGCTTTCTGGTTGCCGGACTCCACTGACACCAGGGGTTCCCTGACCAGGGCAGAGGCTCCCCGAAGCCATCTGGCCCAGCTGACACCAGGGTTCCCCTGCCCAGCCGCTGCTGGGCCAGCCGAGATTCTGGAGACCCTAAGTTCTCCAGGCTGACTCCCGCTCCTGGGGCTCTTTGGTCCAGCAACATCTGTGGCCTTGCTGGACCACAGATGTTGCCAGACCAGAGTCCTGGATTTGGGAGGTTCAACCTGTATTCTAAAACACTGGAGAAAAAACATTTGTTGTAGAGATGCATATACAATTCATAATGAGCAAAACTTTTATTATAAAGTTAGCCTTCACTCTACAAGGAGTACATAAAAAGAGTAAATACTAAAGCTGCATTTCCATTTCCATCTGAATACACAGTTCTGTTGAAACTGAAAAGCTTCATGAAATCGAGCCAATTTTGCTGGAATTTAATTTTGGAAGAAAACCAAAACCAAAAGTCCTGGCAATGTCAAAACATCCAGTTTTGACATTTTTTAAATTAAATATCTTTTGAGATTCAAAATGCATTTTTATTTCTAATTTTTACTTTTTTGTTAAACAATAGAAAAAAAATTAAAAATAGGAAATGAAATACAATATTTTAGTTTTGTCAAAACCAAATATTTTGATCAATCCAAAACAAATATTTTTTCTGATAAATTTTCCTTCATGGAAAATTTCAGTTTTATTTCCTATTCAGAATAAAGCCAGATTAAAGATCTTGAAACCCTTCCTGAAATGGAATTTATATAATCTGCACAGCACTAGTTCACATCCTACACAACACTCTCTCTTGGTGCCAACTGTCTGACAATTTTGAGATGTTTGACATGACTTCCAAAAGGACAAAAATGATCAATCAATAGTCTTCCAAACAAATGCCCCAGTCATAAATTGTGATTTAAGTCTATGGAGCTGCATACATGTACAGCATGAATCAATGGAGCTCAGCAAGACACTGGCTTCAAAAAAGCCTAAAACATTAACTATCCCCCACCTTAATAACCAAGCAAACCAAAAACAACTAATTGTATTTAAAATCCGAGAGTATAAAAATCAAAGAGATTATTGGTTTCCAGCTTGCCTCTGTAACATTTTCTATAGTAAACATACATTTTGAAAGCTGCATTTCTTGCAGCTGCTCCAGTACTTCACATTTTCACCACCCTATTACTGTTCACACTTTCTAAAAACAAAACATGATGGGATTGCTTTCAGGGAGGTTCAATCCACCAATGAACCAGCCTATACTTGCCCAATAAAGTAAACAAATATTTACAGACAACACAATACAGCAGTGCAGTGGTTCCTTATTCTAAATTCTATAATAATAGGCCTTTTGGTTTCTTCCAGGTATCTCAAGAGGTTTTAGTGAGTCTGAAAGGTATCTTTAAAATGTGCCTGTCTCTTTTTAAATATGGCCAACTTCTGCTGTTCCCAACCATAAATCCAGAGTAACTGTATTGATTTAAAGGGAATAACCAGTGTAACAGAACTGAATTAGTCCAATATTTTATTATTTTAGAGATGTTTGTTTTAAGAGTATAAAAAGAAACCTTTGAAAAAAATTTATTTTAAACAAACTGTTGATGAGTAAAGATCATTTGTGGTCATTCTGAAAGCATGACTTAGGGAAACTAGACACACACATAGGATATGAATATAGGAAATGAAATCCACTATAGATAATAACATCACTGAAAGTATAAATGTAATGCACTGCTTATTTTCAGTCATAATTCCAGAGACAGGCAGTTTATGCATGTAAAACCAGAACTATTTACAGAGCATGTTTCTCTTGTCATCTCTGCCCAAAGATAAATCTTAAGGACTCAGGTACTGTAAACATTTCAGACTTTTTTAAAAAAAAGATTTCAATGGGATGCTTGTAAAAAAATGAAAAGTGATTATTTATGAGTAAGAATTTAAACATCAGATTCTATGCCAAACTTTTTAAAGGAATTCCAAACCCACATAATAATAGTGGGATCACATTTCTTATAATGATGTAATATTTATATAGCAGTAGCACCCATTGGGAACACATTGCACTAGGCACTGAAAAAAACTCTGGGCTTGTCTTGACTGCAAAGTTAACTAGAGTTATAACTCAGTTTAGCCCCTATCTCAACTCCCATCCACATACAAAAACCCTTAACTTGAGTGCAGTGATATTTTTAACGTAAGTTTATCACGAACTGGGCCAGGAGAGGATATAAGATAAAACATGTGCACGCCAAAGGCATCAGCTTGTCACACAATCAAATGCACAGCAGATGCACACTAGCATTATTACCCCTTCCCCTAAGCCTCCTGTTGGCCAAGGAAAGACAGACTAGTTCTTCCAAAACACACTGCAAAACAATTTGTAGTGCACTCAAGAGAAACGTGGGATATGATCCCAGAAGTTTTACTGGCTTTACTGTAACTCACAAGTGACTACAGCCTCAGTATGGACAGAGCTGCTTGTGCACTGCACAAAATAACACTGTTATTTTGCAGTGTTGCACTTTATCAAGGCTTATTTGAAAGGAGTGACTTGTGTGTAGCTAATGTAATTCTGCAGTGAAAATATATCCACAATGACCAAAGGGTTTATCTTTCTAAAAAATGTTCAGATCACCTGAACCTGATGCAGAGGTGAAAGTAAATTAAATTTCTTACAGGTACTGATGTATTGCCCTCCCTCCCCCAAAAAGGAGATCAGGGCAGAGATTGGAGATATGTGTGATATGACCATACTTGTAAGAATTGCAGGGTGTGGAGTCAAGACAGGAGGCTGGAATGTGCAGGAGTCAGGGTTGGGGGTGTGAGGAAGGGCTCAGGGCAGAGGGTTGGGGTGTGTGGAAGGGAATAGAGGGAAACAACTCATGGTTCACTCACTTCTCTGCGCCCTCCTCGCACCAGCCAGGAGGGAGAGGAAAGCAGAGATGCTGTGTGTATTCCTCTTGCTCCCTGAGAGTGATGGAAGAACAGCAAGCAACAAGCAGCATTGGTAGGAATGGTGTGTGCATGTGTATGTGTGTGTGGGGGGGGAGGGGAGAGAAGGTTCAGACCCTCCTGCCTTCCCTAAAGGGCATCCTAGATAGGGATGTACATGGTTAACTGGTTGCCTGACCTGGCCAGAGAAGCCCCCTGCCCACAGAGGAGGGACCAGGATCATCACACCATACCATGATCAGGTCCAGGACAGGTTATAGATTGTTGATAATGTGTTCCCCTGAGTGTCAGTTTATTTGAGAACTTTACAGAAATCCAAACAGTCTTTTTTTTTTTTTAAATGGAGATTGCCTATCTCCTAGAACTGGAAGGGACCAAAGGTCAGCAAGTCT